GGACTTGGTGTAGTGCCGCGTTGCATGCACAAAATTTTCGTAAATGTGACACAACAATACGCGAAATAACAATGATTTAAAACAACTTTTATAAATGAATAAATAAATTGTGTGCATGTAGATACTTTAGGGTGGTCAAAAAAATTTCACAGAAAAATAAATTTTTTCGAAATCTTTTGCTGGCATCCTCAGAATTATAAAAAATAATTAGACCGGTATTTTTTTTTTTTTTTGAAATCGGTTAATACATAATCTTGCCGCCGGCACTTTTTATATCAATCATCGCAAGCTCTTTAAATATTTGAAAATATAGTTTTATGCATTACAAAACAAAAAAAATATTTCTGTTTTATATTTAATTGGTTATATTCAAGTAAGTTAAACAAGTGCGCTGCTCATCTTCATATTTAATTGGAAGCTTTATATGAGGCTCCTAAAAGTATGTACGATTACATACTTAACCATTAGTCGTATATTTCACTGAGCTTTTGCGCCTGCTTAAATCATGTATATTTCGTTGCTTATGTACAGTTATACATACATACATAACACATATTCAGTTTTATTGTACTTACGTATGCACATATGAATGTACGTATATCAATAAATTTATCCACATAGGTATGGAATACGTGCTTGGCATTCCTTATCATCTTTAATGCAAAAAAAAAGGAACAGTCCAGCGCTTTCGTCTTGGTCTGCAGGCTGTATCGGAGACATAGCCGCTAAATTTAAACGTGGAATACGTGGTACGGTTAAGAGCACATCCAAGTCAAAAAACGAAAGCACACACTAAGAAAAAAATATCGATAACAAAAGCGATAATAATATCGATAGCAAAATCGATAACAAAATCTACAAAAATATCGATAATAATATCGAAATTGTAATAAAATCGATAACAACCTCGACAAAAATATCGATAACGAAATCGTTAAGAATATCGATAGCAAACTCCGAAAAAAACGATTTCAAAATCAATAACGATATCGATAAAAATTTCGATTACAAAATCGATAAAATATCGATTATTATATCGATAAGTCCTGAGAATTCCGAAAATCTCTAAAATCCCGAAATAGTTCCCAGATTGAGTCTCTGTCTATATCCTTTTCTCTATAATTACCTTTGTTTTCATTTTTCTTCCTCCATCTTTGTCTTTACTTTTATCGGTATCTATCCTCATATTTTTCTTTATATTTATCTTTGGTTTTACTTTTATGTTTATCATATTCTTCATCGACATATCCCCCTTCACCTTTGCCTTTTATAAATATTGCGCCATCTGTTATTCAAAAGCCGAAATACCTACACACACATACTTTTTCTCTCAATGATGACGAAGTGATTTTGTATGGAAAATTATTTATGCCAATATATTTGAATGAAATAAACATATATAGAAGATATCAACCAATACTTCCCATATACCAAACGAAAGGAAAAATCTTGAATTTTTGACTAAAGAAAAGAAAAACAAAATCATTCGAACGGTTTTCAAGCATTTTGGAAATAAAAAAAATTCTCTAATTTTTGTCAAAAATTTGTTGCAGTAAAATGCTCAATATTTGTTGAACTTATATAAAATTTGTGCACGATAATATTTCTATTGCTCCAAAGAACCTATATCCCGAAAATGAAAGTTTAACCTGCAAATCATAAGTTTCTAGAGCACTTTAAGGGCCGGTTTCTCCATCTCTGGTTAACACTAACTCCCCGGTTAAACATTGTTATCGACGTTCTAACTCCATGCATATAACAGGGAGTCGATAAGGTCGGTAACGATGTTTACCGGGGGATTAGTGTTAACCGGAGATAGAGAAACCGGCCCTTAAGGCTCAAAATTTACCCCAGAATAAGCCAATATTTACCGTTGTTTCTACGACATAAACCGAATTGGTTACTTACAGAAATGAATCTGTCGATAGGTTTGGAATCATATCTTTGAAACGCCACACTTTTCTTTCAAATCGCTTCATTAGTTCTCGTGCAATAAGCGTATTCGTGAAGCTCTAAAAATTACAACTGCAACATTTCAGCATAGCCACGATATCGAAACGTAAGACGTATTCTACGTCAATATACATGAAATTGCAGCTTTCATCAGCTTCTGTAATAACTACTTAATTTTGTGTAAATTTAAAATTCATCTAACTCAAACCCACTGAAAATGGTCAAGCTTTCTATATGTAATTTTTTCTTGTTCCCAACGATAAATAAAAAATACAACTTCAACAATTTTTCATAATTCGAATTTTTTTTTAAGTTATAGCTACATATACATATGTACGTCATATTTTTCAAAGGAGTTAATCCATTCACTTTATCACTAGGTCGCCGTGGCTTTGCTTACAGGAATTCGCTCT